ATATAGGATTTTCTGGAAAGAACTCTAATACACTGTAAACTCTTAAACTACTACATTATAAAAATTATTTGTGTAAAATGTCACTAATTACTTATGAACTCACCAGCATTTGTAAAAATGTTGAAACTCGCTTTTCAAATAACTTGTATTCTCAGGTCAGCTTTAGACAGGTACATCCCCGGAGCTGTTGATGAAGATAGCTTAGTACCATGCTACTCTTATTACAATTACTCATATTACTTTGATATATTGTAATGGAAACAATGTAAAACTATTACTATTAATGTAATGTTTTGTTGTACTTTGATTATTATAATGCATGTGTTGTGATACTTGACATGACGTCATTCACCCCAGAACGTTTCCGCCGTTCCGGTTTTGGGGTGTGACATGTTGTAGGAAAATTCCGCCAAGGGTAAGTACGTGTCCTAACTCCCACCGAAATCCAACACACATGCCCGGAGCATATCCTCGAGCATCTGAATCGTCCGCTCACTCTGTCCGTCCGTCTGAGGGTGGTACGCGGTACTGAAATGCAGTCTAGTACCCAGTTCCTCATGGAATTTCTTCCAGAATCTAGAGGTGAAACGCACATCTCGGTCTGAGACAATCGAGATCGGCACTCCATGCCATGCTACCACTTCCCTCACATACATCTCCGCCAACCTCTCTGCAGAAGAGTTCTCGCTAATTGCGAGGAAATGAGCGCTCTTCGTCAATCGATCTACAATCACCCAAATTGCATCGACGTCCCTCACAGTCCTTGGCAATTTGGTGATAAAATCCATGGCGATCTGTTCCCACTTCCACTCGGGAATCTCCAACGGCTGCAACTTGCCGTAAGGTCTCTGATGCTCAGCCTTAACCCTGCGAGATGTTAGACACCTCTCCATGAACCATGCAACGACGCTCTTCATACAAGGCCACCAATACTCCCTTTTCAGGTCCAAATACATCTTAGTGGCCCTGGGATGGATCGAGAACTTCGATCGATGAGCCTCTTCCATCAGAATGGTACGCGTTCCGCCCACATGCGGTACCCAGATCCGACCCTGAAACGTCATAAGCGCCCGACCATTGATGACGAACTCTGATACTTTCCCGACAACCCGCTCTCTCTTCTGGTTTTCTGGCCTAACGGCCTCGGCCTGAGCTCCTCGAATGGTGTCCAAGACCGGAGTCATCATCGTCAACCTCATACAAATGTCACGCATCGGAACACTCTCCGCCCTACGACTCAAGGCATCGGCCACCACGTTGGCTTTTCCCGGGTGGTACAGGATCTCGCAATCATAATCCTTTACCACATCCAGCCATCTCCTCTGCCGCATATTCAGGTTGGGCTGATCCATCAAGTACTTCAGGCTCTTGTGATCCGTGTATATGGTACATCGGACCCCATATAAATAGTGACGCCAAATCTTGAGGGCGAACACCACTGCCCCCAACTCCAAATCATGGGTAGGATACCTCGCCTCATGAGGCTTCAGCTGCCTCGATGCATACGCTATCACATGACCCCTCTGCATAAGTATTGCTCCCAATCCTGATATCGACGCATTACAATATACCACGAAATCCTCCATTCCCTCCGGAAGGGCTAACACCGGGGCTTCGCATAATCTCTGGCAAAGTGTCTCGAAGGAGGCATGCTGTTCTGGGCCCCAAGCAAAAACTACACCCTTCCGGGTCAACTTGGTGAGTGGCACAACGATCTTGGAGAAATCCCTGATGAATCTCCGATAATAGCCTGCCAGCCCTAGAAAACTCCTGATCTCCGTGGGCGACCTCGGCACCTCCCAACCCATCACCACCTTAATTTTGGTGTGGTCGACCAATATCCCTTTCTGGTTAACGAGATGTCCCAAGAACTGGACCTCTCGTAACCAGAAATCACACTTGGAGAACTTGGCATAAAGCCTCTCCGATCTCAAAACCCCTAGGATCTCCCTCAGATGCTCCTCATGCTGCTCTCTAGATCTCGAATACACCAAAATGTCGTCGATGAATACGATTACCGAGCGATCCAACATCAGTCTGCACACCCTGTTCATGAGGGCCATGAACACCACTGGTGCGTTGGTAAGCCCGAAAGGCATCACCACGAACTCGTAATGCCCGTAACGAGTCCTAAATGTTGTCTTCTGAATATCCTCATCTCGCACCCTCACCTGATGATATCCAAACCTCAAGTCGATCTTGGAAAACCAAGATGCTCCCTGCAACTGATCGAACAAATCGTCAATCCTCGGCAACGGGTAACGGTTCTTGACCGTTAATTTGTTCAACTCCCGGTAGTCAATGCACATCCGGTGTGAACCATCCTTTTTCTTGACAAAAAGGATAGGAGCTCCCCACGGTGAACTACTCAGCCGAATAAATCCCTTACCCAACAGCTCCTGTAGCTGCGAGGATAGCTCCTGCATCTCTGGAGGCGCAAGGCGATAGGGCGCCTTGGCGATAGGCACGGCCCCCGGAACCAAATCGATACTGAACTCCACCTGCCTCACACGAGGTACGCCTGGCAACTCCTCTGGAAATACATCCAGAAACTCACGCACTATCGGAACCTCCCTCACAGACCTCGGTCTCTCCGACTCAACCCTTGCATCCATAACATATGCTATGAATCCCTTACATCCCTACTGAAGGCTCTGCCTCGCCCTGGCGGCTGAGAAAAATGCTGAACCGGAACATGTACCCTTGCCGTACACCATAAGGACTCCCCCACTAGGGTCTCGCATGGTCACTAGCTGTCGCTCGCAGTCGATGATCGCTCCAAATCTGCTCAACCAGTCCATGCCCACGATGACACAGACATCCCCCATCGCAATAGGGACCAAATCTATCAGAAACTCAACCCCGAAAATCTCGAGTACACAACCACGTATCACCTCGGTGGCATACACTGCTCTCTCATCTGCTATGGAAACTCTCAGAGGTTGACTCATCGCCTCTCTACTAGTACTGATGTGTCGGCTAAAGGCCAACGATACAAAAGATCGACTCGCACCCGAGTCAAATAACACTAGAGCAGGTACAAAATTCACAAGGAAGGTACCTACGCATAACATAATATAAGCACAATCATCACAGAATGTAAAAGAATACATGAAAGAGTACATACCAGCCACGACATCGGGCACTGTGCAGACCTCCTCCACAGTCAACTGGAAGGCTCTCCCACGTGCCTTCGGTGCTTCAACCTTCGCAGGCTGAACTTTTGCAGCTCTCACCGCAGCAGGGGCTGATCCCGGAAATGCTCCCTGCACTGACCCCCATAATTGTGGACACTCTGCCTTCCGGTGTCTAGTCTGGTTGCAATGAAAACATACTGAAAAACCCTTAGGGAAATCCTTGGCCATGTGCCCCTCCTTGCCACACTTGTAGCAAGACCTTGCTCTGCAAATCCCCTTGTGGCTCTTGTTGCACTTGCCACAAGTGCGGCCCTTCTGGTTCCCAGATCTCGAATCAGCGGATTTGACCCGCTTGGCTGACGGCTGAGACTGAGCCGGCTGCCGATCCTTTCCCTGAGACTCAGCCTCCTCCCTGGCTTGGGTCTCCAACTCTATCTCCCTCTTCCGGGCATTTTCCTGAAGCTTGGCAAATGTCCGGTATGTCGAGTTCGCCACGAACTCACGTATATCCCTCCTCATAATGCTCAAATATCGGCTCATGCGTGCCTACTCGGAGGACACATGCTCTGGGAAGAACATCGCCCGCTCATAAAACATCATCGTAATCACTGTAACAGACTCAATACCCTGCTTGAGGGTCAGAAACTCCTGGGCCAAACGCTCCCTCTCCACCTGGGGAACGTACTCATCTCGAAACATAGCGGTGAACCTCTCCCAGGTCACCGCAGCAAGCTCAGCAGGCGTAAAGTGCACAGTCACAAACTTCCACCAATCCTTCGCTCCCAAGCAAAGCTGGTTCAGCGCGAACCGGACTCTCAAATGCTCTGGAGATGAGCAAGTAAAGAAACACCCCTCTATGTCAGAAATCCATCTCATCGCTGCGATCGGGTCCTGGGACCCGTCAAACTCCGGTGGTTTCGTGTTGCTGAACTCTCGGAATAACAACGCATCACCACCCTACGGCCTAGTCGCAGCTATAGTTGTAGTGGCTGCAGCAACAACAGCCTCAGAAAGAGCAGCGTATCTCTCATCAAATGTCACCATCAGAGTGATCTTGATAGACCCGAACATCTCTGGTATCTCTTCCCTGATGGCCGCAGCCACCTCCTCCTGGATGATCCTACGGATCTCATCATTACTCGAACTGTCGATCACTGGTGTGTGGCGCGTCCCAACCATGGTCTCCTTCTGAAATACAACATAAGAATATTAGAGACCCTTTTCGAGTATAAACACACTCGATAACTCCACCCTACTCGTTCCTTGGTTCCCAAAGGATTCTTACTTGGGCTGCGTACCAACCCGGTATCTTCAGTAGTACGGGCCCAATACTACCATCCATACCGCGTTGGCATTCATCCCAAGTCCTCCTCCTTGAGTCTCAAATCCAAAGTACTCTACTCTTTCTATCATTTGCTACTCACTAACAAAACTCTCATAAGCGCCTCGCTGCTATCTAAATCACTCTTAAGCATCTCTAGCAGCAAAACCCCTAGATTAAGGCATCATATATCAGGCCACTCTAGTCCTAATAAGAATACCTAGTCTACTCTAGCATGCATATCGTAACTCATCATATAGCATACATAACATATCTTATAATCACTTATTAGGAGGGTATTTTGGGAAATCACCGTTCGGGCGCGGGCTGATCGTACACATGGCTCTACTCTGTTTGTCTCAAAACTCTTTTTACTCTTTTGTTGTTGTTGTTGTTGTCGTCGTCGTCGTCGTCGTCGTCGTATCAATACAAAACCCAAGATCAAATATATATATATATATATATATATATATATATATATATATATATATATATAAACTCTGATATGCGTATGTACGGATCATGCCGTCGCCTTCCCGCGATCATCGTTGGTACCTAAAACACATAACACATAACACTGTAAGCATAAATGCTTAGTGACTTCCCCAAAATACCACTCTAACACATAATAGCGACTCGAGGCTGTAACTTTGTTGACCCTTAGGTCTATGTGTCTCAGTGGGGCCTTCCAGCCCCAACTCTCTATGGGCCCTCTGGCCCTAACTCTGTGGACCCGAAAGTCCTAACTCTGTGAACCCGAAAGTCCTAACTCTGTGGACCCGAAGGTCCTAACTCTGTAACTTTGAATCATACATAGCACATATCACAATAAATCATAACACATAAATAACATGCAATTACACTGGCATATAACTCTAAAATACTCTATCACATAACTCTGTTACCGCACTAGGTAAAGTATAGTGAGAAGACTCACCTCAGGCGTCTTGGTAAATCTCTGACTCGGTAGGAATATTGCCTAGTCTTCGCCTATTCACATAAAGTAAATACTCTTATAAATATATTTCTCAAGACTAGACTCAACCTGCCTCTGGCACCCTCAGGAGGGAAAAAGGCTATTTTACCCCCCTCTCAACACAAGTACTCCATTGACTAAACCCTAAAAGTCAACGGTCACACTTTGAACCTACTTGTCGAGTGCACTCTGGTGACTCGGCGAGTTCACACATGTTCTTTAACATTTTGTCCCGCTTGGCACGCCGAGTCCCTCTCTATGTGTGACAAGTCATACTAGGCATGAATCGCGGGGCCACCACGACTCAACTCGCCGAGTCTCAAGAACAACTCGGCGAGTGCCGCCTTGAACTCCAGTCCTCTAACTCCCTTCTGACTCACTGAGTCATCCCCCAACTCAGCAAGTCTACTCATTGAGCAATTTACGTGAAACCCTAACCCTACTCGCCGAGTCTCGGGAACAACTCGGCGAGTTCATGCCATGCACAAACTCTACTGGCCTCCTGAGGTCAGATCTGTTTCCCTAAATCAAAGATCTGGCCTTCGCAAGCATGAATGTCACGTAAAGCTCGAAACTTGATGCTTGTATAACAACAAAAAGGCATCAAAAGGAGATTTATTACTAAAAATGGCAACCTAAGTCCAATAACCCCAAACTAATCCATAAAGCTCCAAGGGTTAAGGTCTCTGGACCTCTTTGAGTCCAGATCCAAGGCACAAACTCGAAGAGGGACCATTTGCTCCACATAATCACTCTCCAAAGGGGTTAGAAAACCCTAACTCTATAGATCAACACCAAAACTGAAGGAGGTTCGAACTATTACCTCAAAATGAAGTCTCTGAATCCCTGGAACTGCTAGAATCGCACCTCCCCTCTTGCTCTTGCACCTCCTTCTTGCTAAACCAAAGATACAAGGATCAAAAGTGTCTTCTTCTTCCTTTTAACGATTTGGCTCACTTAGGGTTCTCTCAAGGGATTGGTAGCCGCAATGAGAGGCTATAAGTGCCCTTAAATAGACTCCAAACCCGGGGATTTAGGGTTTCATTAAATAGTGTGGACTCGCCGAGTCCAAAGCGAATCCGGATGAACAATCACGACCCTACTCGGCGAGTCTACGCATCAACTCTTCGAGTTCCTTCTCATAATTCAAAATAAGTAAATAAAATAAAATACCTGGAAACCCGGCTGTTACAAAATGCTAGCAAAATGAAGATCTATCTTCATATACACAGCCATGGTATTGATTAGGAGAGAAACGGTAGAAAAAGAAAAGGGAAGAAGATAATGATGGGTGAATGACTTATTTACAAAAGGGTTAAGTAGGTCAATACCTCATTTATTGATGTGGCAATGAATCTTTCAACGTATCAATAATTAACATGAGGTGTCTTAAAAAAATGCTGAGTAGGATGGGGTTAACCGGCTTATCCCTTCTTTTTCTATAGAATAGCTTGAAGAGTCAGTAAAACTACATTTTGTTCCCCTTAAATGCCAAAAAAATAAAATAAAAACAAAAGGGACTATTTAAACCAAATAATAAACTTCATAGGGCTACAGTGATATGATGTCTACAGTGATATTTACCCTATTTACCCTAAAGAAAATAATGAAACTTCTAGCCATTTTTTTTGGGATGTCTGAAACAAATGCTACAAAAGCAACCCGTAGTATCAAAACAATGGTTTCTTAAACAACTGAACATTTTAATTCCAACCATAGGCTAACTTTAATTTAATAATTACTTAATGATATTTAATTAATTACAATGTGTAAAATGAACAAAAAGTAATGATAGTTCAAGTGTTCAACAATGAGTCTTTGATTTGGTAATAAATTCCATCATTATGCAAATCCATATGTTAAAAATATATAAAAAATAATACCCATTACAATGCATATTCTATAAATTCTAAAATTTAATTTTGACAAATTCATATTTAAGAAATTTTGGCCCCAATTGTGACTTGTAGTTTAATCATCAGCATAACCTTTATTGGTATCGATGATCGCCGGCGATCGTTAGCAAGATAACCAATTCTTGTGAGTACTAATGATCGCCGACAACATCCCCGCCGACGCCATCAGTAGCGGTCCAGAAAGCCGCCCCTTGCCGTCGCGAATATCAGCCACCGCCATCAATCCATCCGCCACATCTTGAACCACCGAAAGCTTCTTCAATAACTTCTTTTCCCTCAATTTCTTCAACTTCTCCTCTTCGGTTTTCGTAGAATCTCCTCTCGTATCCATAATTTCGATACTCGATAGCAAACAAGCTTCATCCTTCGAAATCCCCTTCAGATCCCTAGTTTTCAAACTAATACTTCCGATGTATCCAATAAATTCAGCCCACGCACTAATTCTTTGTAGATTTCGAGAGTGTTTGCTGTCGATGAGCCCTGATTTCGCTAACCAAACAAACTGTTCGACGAAATAATACAAACCCTCGCCGCCGTACGCGATGACGGCGAGTATAATATCTTGTCTGGTTTCGAGTTTTGCAGAGCGGAAGGAATTGACGTCTTGGATGAATTTGCCGAGGCGGAAGGCTTTACGGCTGAGTCCGACGCTGGATTCGAAGCTCTTGAGGCGGCGGTGGAGGGGGTGGGTGGTGGGTATGGAGTCGGAGGATAGGATGATTTTGGTGGCGTATCGGGAGATCTTGAGGAGCTTGTCGACGCCGTCGCGTTTGGAAAGGTATGCTTCGAGGTGGAGTAGGAAGTCTCGGTTGACTTTGGTGGGTTTTGATTTTGTTTTGATTAGTGAAGATGAGAGGTCCGATGAATGGGGTTCCATGGCGGAGGAGGTGTGGGAGGCGACGGCGATGATCGAATTTGACGCTATCGCTAATCGTTGACGGTGTCTTTAGATGTAAACAGAATTCGGGGATTGCTTCTTGAGTTGCGTGCCCAATATTGTTCAATTTGAAGCTTGACTAACTCATTTTATGTTTTTCTAAAAATTGTTATTGTTGTTATTATTTAGTATTTTCTTGAGAAAAAAATATATTAACTATCATATTTGGAATAGATTTGATGCATCATGTATTACATAATTGAAGTCTTATGGCGTCTCTAGAAGATTTAAGTTTCATTATAGTCGAAGGGTCACGATTCTTCCACATAGAGTTTTACTTCAACTAAGGAAAGCAAAAATGTATAGGAACGTTTATACTCTTTAATTTAATTAACAAATAATGAAAAAGAGTAGATCCTAATTTCCAAATGATGAGCTAAGAGAGAATACGAATGTTTCATCCTTCCTCGGGTGTTGCTTCTTTCATCTGCAATTCTCATCGGTTTGCTCTAACTGAATGTCCTCATTGATCTAGACTACTCGTCAATGTGTCTACAATTTCGATGTGTGTTCATCGACAATTACCAATCAATATATGTGTGTGTTTGTGTGTTCATTTGAAGATAATTTAATTAGGTAGGTTGTTCTTTGAGTGTTTGAAGTTCCTTTTTAGCATCTAATTGTTATCTTAATTTATTTATTACCGATCAATATTGCTTAGTTTTTCAATGTTGTGTAAGTAGACTGAAATCATTTTTGTGGTTATTTTGCAATGGTAAGTTTATGATGTGATGAACCATTGAAAAAAAAAACACTTAGCAAGTGTAAGTTTCTTGTATGGTGTACCTTTGAACTTTGGAGATGGATTGAATCTTTTTTTGTGGTTGTTTCTTTTTGTGATTTCGTAAAGGAAATCTTCCATGGAAGAAAAGCTGAAGAAAAGCTAAACGCTATAAAAAGGAAACCAATGATCTTTACTTTTTATTGTTTATATATATATATATATATATTATATATATATATATATATATATATATATATATATATATATATATATATATATATATAAATTTTGGGTTAACTTTATGAACAGTAAATACTTCCTATTGGTTGATTTTTTTTCTGAAATATTTATTTTTTGAAGTTACTTTTTGCCAATGGGATATGAGTCATTGGCCACCGTTTCTATTTTCTAATAGGATTGCTCCACCACACCACCGACTCCATATATGTTCCTCCACCGCCTCTGATTGCCAATGTATGGAACCCCTGCTCTCTCTGCCAATGTATGGAACCCCTGCTCTCTCTGCCAATGTATGGAACCCCTGCTCTCTCTGGATAAAGAGGTTGTCTCCCTTCTCCATCTCGCCACGATTGAGAAGAAGATGTGTGTGATTTCTTACATCCACCGCCATCTCCAACTTTCATTGAATCTAGGTTCCTCTCCTCTCCTCTCTACTTCTCCCTTTTCTCATCATCTCCAAAAAAACTCTGATACAGGTATTGTTTCCGACAAACAAACTTCAGCCTCCATGAACCCCCAATCAGCCATCGTCTTTCTCTACCCCCTCCTTCTCTTAATCGCTTATAGGACACAACACTACGAGCAAGAAAGTCGAGGTTGTTTTATCACTACCTCTGATTCATCATCCTTCATCGTCTCTCTATGTATGTGTCACCACCATTCATCTGCACCATCGGTTCTTGATTTAAAACTTCACAATGGTAAAAATGACTCACAACCGTATGTTTAATTGGAGAGTTTCTAATACACGCAGAAGATCCTTCTGACCAATCGTCCCGAACTCTAATCTTACCTTCGCCATCAGCATGTCCATCTTTAGAGGGCTAATTCAAATATGTAAAAAAAAGAAGACAATTTGTTGTGCGTTCAACAGCTAGAGATTTCGAGTGATTCCAAATTTAAATCAATCTGTTTATACAATTGAAGGTACAAATCAATCTATTTCTGGTTCGAATTTTGATTGGAGGAATTTGGATTTGGAAGTGTAGTTGGTAGCTTCGATCAGTGATAGAAAACTTTTCTAATTTTTTTTAGTCATACTGATTATGCTCTGCATCCTACAATTGTATTGAACTTTTTTGCAGTCAACAAAGAAGATGAGGTTTTGATAGGAACAATGATTCGAGTTTTGGATGCAGGACCAAAAGAGAAGATGTTGCTAAAAATTCATTCAGGTTCTTTCTCCCTCTACTCCACACTCAATTACTCAGGTTGTAACGACCCAATTTTTTTTTTACGTCCGAAAATTTCATTTTAAAATATTACTTTAGAAAACATTAATAAATAAAAACATTGTTGATCACACCATAACACATCGCTACCATGTTTTAAAAGGTCAAACCATACATCCCATCAAAATATCAGAGTACAATCCCAGTGACTCTCGTAAATGCGGAAGACAGAGTGTGTGCATGACGTGCCGCTACCGCGCCGGCTCTTTCCCCTTCGGTGCAGAGGTACCTGAAAACAAAACTGTAAACGTAAGCACAAAGCTTAGTGAGTTCCCCCAACGTACCACATACCATACAAACACATAACATAAATACTGCCAGGCTATTCTGGGGTGCCTGACTACCCGGTACGGCCATTCTGGGGTGCCGACCTACCCATACGGCCATTCTGGGGTGCCGTCCTACCCGTGTCAAGCCATTCTGGGGTGCTGACTACCCATCGGTCCTAACAACCGATCCTCGGGACTGGTCCCTCCCGCTACCTCTATCGCATAACATAACAGGCCAACATACAAGCATACCATCACATACAGTCAGATGTTTCTGGGTGTCTGACTACCCTGCGGTCCTAACAACCGAACTCTACTACTATTGCATATAACGTATCATGAGAGCATATAACATAACAGGTAATAGCAAACCTAGATGATATCACAAAGACAATCATCTATCATACGTCCCCTACTGGTGGGCCGGCATTGTGGCCTTAGGCCCACCACTACTGGAAGGTAACTCACCTGAACTGCTGACCCTACTGATAAATCTCTGGCTGCTACTCGACAATCCCTGATCCGCTGCTCCTCCAGCTCTCCGAGCTATCAATATACATATAACACTTAGTCTGACAGTCAACTAAGTCAACTCTGGTCAAAGTCAACCTTCCAGGTCAACCCTACTCGCCGAGTCTTCCTAAAGACTCGCCGAGTTCATAAACTCAGGGTCTTTCTTATTCGCGACCCGACTCGCCGAGTCAGTCCATGACTCGCCGAGTCCTAGACAATCTTCAACCAACTCGCCGAGTCCATGCCTAACTTCATCCGACTCGACGAGTTGTTCATCCTACTCGTCGAGTTCCTCCTCATCTTCAAGCTACTCGCCGAGTCCACTCGAAGGACTCGCCGAGTCCAGTCGGTTCTACATACATGCAGAGGACCTTTGAGTCATGCATGGACTCCAAACTGTAGATCCACTCTTTTAAGGTCTATTCCTTACGTAAAGTTGCAAACTTTACGTGTAGAGAAGGAGATCTAGGCAAGATACGCCATTAACTAGGGTGTAAGGCCAAGGGACTTCAAAATCAACACAATGACTGATACTTTATGCTTCTCCAGGCCCTAAAACACTTGAATCTGAAGTAGCAACTCCAGATCCGGCTTCTAACCCAAAATAATAACATTATGGCAAAAGAGCCCCAACAACCACACATAGATCTAGGTGCAAAAAGGGTCCAGGAACTAGTTTATTACCTCCAAGTGCTCAAAATGAACTCACAATCCCAGATCTATAGCTCCTTCTTGCTCCTCCAAGTTCCTTCTTCCTTTTCCAAGCTTTAAAGCACCTTCCAAGGCTCAACTAGGAGATATGACGGCTAGGGTTTGATATCCAGGGCTAAAGAGGCAGTAAGGAACCCTGGGAAGAAGATTAAGACATTTATATAGGCCCCAAGTCCCGAATTTAGGGTTTTCCACGCACAGACCAGACTCGCCGAGTCCCCTGGTCGACTCGCCGAGTCGGTCACTTACTCCCGACCCGGATCCCGCTCGGACTCGCCGAGTCCCCTTAGACTCGCCGAGTCGACCCCTAAACTTAGGGTTTTCTTTCCTTTCTTGGTCTTCGAAACTTTGGGTGTTACAACTCTCCCCCACTTAAACTAAACTTCGTCCTCGAAGTCTGCTATGGCCCACTGCCTGCGAGCTGCCTCTAAACCCAACCAACTATTCCAACACCAGCTGCCTACCCTTGCTAGCTTTTGCTCGATCCTTCCGACTAACCTTAATCCCTGCAGATAACACCTCGGGTCAACCCTGACCCTGAACATCCTGGAGACCCAACTTACTCAACTGGCAATCCTTCTGGTACTCACCGAGTACTGAACTGAACCTATAGGGGTTCACCCCTTCCTGTCCTTGCGCAAATCCCTTGCCTTCCCAAGGCAAGGTTCTATAACCAACTATTTCTCTGTAACTGTGAAGGTCCTATACTTCACCAACTCCATCACCCCCGCCAATTCCAGTACGGGTCAATACCGCCAACAACCACCGACGCCCCTATCTGACATAACTTGGTGCCGAGCACCCCCGGTCCTTACTGACGTCTCCATATTTGGGTTACCGAACCCTACCGGTTACTACACCCCTTCGCAATCTCCTAGTCGCTTCCAGCGACTCCTGAAAATACTTCGACTATCTATAACTGTTCTATCCATTCTTCCGCTCATACTGAAACGATGCTGCTGGGAATAGCTTGCTTATATCCCATCTGATTACTCAACTCCTACTAACTCGAGTCTTTCATCCCGAAGAAAAGCTACTTGCCTAGCTATCTTTACATGTCACTTATACTCGGCCGAAGGCTCAACTGATCCTGCTGAGAGAGACTTGTCATTTCCACATCAACCAACTATACCGTCAACACTAGTATTCCAACTCAAATACAATACTGACCCAAAACTCCGAAACCTTTCAAACACTGAATTGTCTGCAATACCGAACCTGCCTGAAACATTAAACTGCCTGAAACGCTGA